ACCTCGTTGGTATATTAAATGGAGATCTTTCTCTCCCTGAGAAATTCGATGCTCTAATTCCTTTTTCAGCGATGTTAATTCCTCTAGTTGGTTTTTCGTTTTGTCTGGATGCAGTGATATCCCTTGCAGTGTATTGTCTAGTGCAGCCTTCTTTGCTCTTATAAATTCTATGTGCAGTGACTTCGCCAAAGTTTCGTTTTTCAGCACCAGCATTATTGGTCTTGGTTTCTGGTTGCCCTGTTTAAAATTGCCAATTCTATGAATCTTAGTACCAGCTATTGAGGAAGAATCGAAAAATGTTGAAACAAGCTTGAGTGTATTAAATTCGTCAGTTTTTTTATCATCATTGTCACAAGTAGTGACACTCGATTCAGAAAGACCAAACAGTATTAAATTACATTTTCGTTTTATTCTGTCCTCAAGTTCAGATAAACAGTTATTAATTTGAGAAAAACGATCTAATTTTGTAGACGCATTATTTGATAAATCGTGCAAAATACCTTCAATACTCGCAACTCTCTCAGTCAAATTGTCAACTCTTTTGACAGTGCTACCAACTGTAGTGTGCAAGGCGTTCAGATCCTCAACTATGTCATGTACGTCAGAAGTGATATTTCCAATATCATTTTTTATATCTTTTATTGAGGCAGACATTGTGTCTAATTTATTGTTTAAGACAGACATTGCATTATTCACTATTCGCTCAATATCAGATGCAGTAACTGCAGTTTGCACTTGAGAAGATGAGGGGGGGGGAACATCAAGACTGTTGGGTGAATTCGCACGTGGTGGACCACAACATCGCGAAAAAGAACCATTTTCTAACAGCAATGACCGGGATGCACATGAGGAGTGGTACGGAGCATGACAACCAATGCACTCTTTAATAGCATCTACAACTCTTTTGCCACAACGAACACAAAATTTATCACCACTATTTAATTTCGAGTCACACATTTTATATCAAAGTCAATTTTGAGGTTAGTAAAATATAAGCACGGTCCTCAATGATTAAGAGGAAGACAAAATAAATAAAAACAGTAACAAATTGTAGGCACCAAAACCAACAACCAGATTGACCGAAAACACTCAAGCCGAACCAAACTCGAAAAAATTTATTTAAAAAAGTATACTGAGCAACAAGCGAAAACGTGTTCAGAGGTAGCCACCTAGCGGCTACGTGAAATATTTACGTGAAAATTACAGGAAAAATACAGCGAACTTGATTCCGATCAATTTACATAGCGTTGTCAAGGAAAAATAAAAAATTTCGAAAAAAATGATTTATTCTCCCTAGCGCACACAATATTCTACCCAGACAGTTCATATTTAGTATACAAATGTATTTTTACGGGAAAAATACAGGGGAAAAAAAGCGGTCACGATTAGAGTTGATGATTAACTTTTTATCAAGTTTTTCAAGAAAAAATGACAATTTTAGGAAAAAAATGTATTTTTCCACCAAAAACGAACAAAATTTTATTTAAAGGAAATTGAATTTACATATTTTAACGTATTTTTACGTGTAGATTACAAAAAAAATATAGCGAGCATGATTGGAGTTGATTATCATAGCGTTGTCAAGGAAAAACCATGAATTTTTACGAAAAATACCTAAAAATGACTATGTACCCCCCCCCCCTAGCGGCCACATCTTTTGACATAAAGAGCTCAAATTTGGTACACTTACGTATTTTTACGTGAAAATTACAGGAAAAATACAGCGAACTTGATTCCGATCAATTTACATAGCGTTGTCAACGAAAAATAAAAAATTTCGAAAAAAATGATTTATTCTCCCTAGCGCACACAATATTCAACCCAAATTGTTCACATTTGCTGTAAAACTGTATTTTTGCGTGAAAAATACAGGGAAAAAATGTAAGCACGATTGGAGTTGATGATCAATTTTTATCAAATTTTTGAAGAAAAATGATAAATTTAATAAAAAAATGTATTTTTCCGCAAAAAACGAAAAAAATCGGACAAGTGCGAGTTACACTCGCACTGAAATCGAGGGTTCCGTACTCGAAGCGAACTTATTTGGTATAAAAACAAATGTTTAAAAAATATGTGTTGTGTATTAAATAATATATGTGATACAAAAATGAACAATTTTAAAAAAAAAATTTAAGAAAATTGTTCCTCCTTTGGTATAAAAACAAAAAAAAAATTTTTAATTTGTTTTGTATTTCCAATAATATAAGTGATACAAAAAGGAACAATTTTGTAAAATTTAAGAAAATTGTTCCTCTTCGTATCACTTATATTATTTGAAATACAAAACAAATTTAAAATTTTTTTTTTGTTTTTATACCAAAGGAGGAACAATTTTCTTAAATTTTTTTTTTAAAATTGTTCATTTTTGTATCACATATATTATTTAATACACAACACATATTTTTTAAACATTTGTTTTTATACCAAATAAGTTCGCTTCGAGTACGGAACCCTCGATTTCAGTGCGAGTGTAACTCGCACTTGTCCGATTTTTTATGAATATTTCCCCTTTTTCCTCTTTTATTCACTCAATTCCCCTATTTTATGTTGAAAGTCGAATATTATTTTATAAATATTTATATTATATATGAGGCAAAATTCCTCAAGTTTTCTAACTTCAAAAGTGAAGGTTTTCGGATCGGGCTGAAATTTGCACAAATTTTAGTACTATGGGTGAGTACTTCACCCATATATTATTATTAAGTTTTATGCAAACCTGTAGAGGGGGGAGAGGGTTCAATTTTTTTGTCAAATGTGAACAGTGGATTTTTTAAAAAATCGTAACTTCTAAATAAATGGATGAAAAAAATTTTGACCTATATGTTTTCGAAAGATTTTTTTTGTGCTCTTTCGAATAGTGAAACAATTTTTCTAAAAATTTCAAAATTTACCCCTTTTTGAAAATCAAAAATATTTTTGATTTTCTGTTTCTTTTTTTTACCCTGAAAATGAAACTTTAGATATATACTTTTAATACTAAAAAAAACTAGAATGACGTTTCTTCTTGTTTCGAGATATTAATTAATTAATTAATTAATGTTTTTAACAAATAGAATATTTTACAAAAACAAATTGAGTTACCGGAATTCTGAACTTACCAATTGAAAGTTAAGGTAATTCCGCAACCAAAGAGCCCTAAATGAAGTATTTTGGATAAGTAGATTGGTAATAAACAATTAGTTAACATAGCAATTGTTTATTAACAATCTACTTAACCAAAATACTTCATATAGGACTCGTTGGATGCGAATTTACCTTAACTTTCAATTGGTAAGTTCAGAATTACGTTAACTTTATTTGTTTGTAAAATATTCCATTTGTTATAAACATTAATTAATTAATTAATTAATATCTCGAAAACAAAAAAACGTAATTCTAGTTTTTTTGGTATTAAAAATATATATCTTAAGCTTCATTTTCAGGGTAAAAAAAAGAAAAAATTAAAAATATTTTTGATTTTCAAAATGGGGTAAATTTTGAATTTTTTACAAAAATTGTTTCACTTTTCGAAAGAGCACAAAAAAACCTTTCGATAACATATAGGCAATTTTTTTTTCATCCATTTATATAGAAGTTACGATTTTTAAAAAATGTACTGTTCACATTTGACGAAAAACTTGAGCCCCCTCCCCCCTGCACAGTTTTGCATATAACAATAATAATTTGTGGGTAAAGTATTCACCCATAGTACTAAAGTTTATGCAAATTTCAGCCCGATCCGAAAATCCTCAATTTTAAAGTTGGATCACTTCAGGAATTTTGCCTCATATATTCAATAATATTTAATAAAAATTCAAATTTGAACCAAAATATTACAAGCCTCGGATTGGAAATTTTTTTTTAACAGAAAATTTATTAAAATTTTTTTTTGATTTAATTTAAAGAAATTAAAAATGTCAGTTTCTTTGAAAAATACGAATAAAATTAAGTTTTGTATATTTTACAAGACGGTCTTCGGTTTAATAAAATAAAAAATTTCTTTGTATTTTTCAAGAAAAAAAATTAGTTTAGAAGTAATTTTCATTCTGTGAAAAATTAATTTTAAAATAAATGTAAAAAATAAAAAACGTTTATTTATTAGATGTATGTAAATCAAATTTTTATAAAACATTGAAAATAACATTAAAAAAATTAATTACTATACTGGGAAAATCTCTCCTTTAAATTTAAGTTTCTTGATGTTATTTTTCGTTTCGACTTATGTTTTTTATACTAATAAATGTGTTATGAAAGACAAAAATAGTCCGTTTTTCATTTAATAAGTCATATTTTCATTTTTATTACAAGTCATTGTATATACAATGACGTCATTGTTACACTTAGACGTTTCGGAATCTCACACGTATTCCATTCTCAATAATCTGTAAATTAATATATAATTATCATCTCACTGACATTTTTAACTGTTACATCGTTTCTATACTTTCCAACTTATACTTATACTTACATGGACATTTAACTAAAAAACTTAAAATGAAAAAACCTTGCCACGTTAGGCGCTCATGCATTTACTTGCATCATGTATTTTCTTGTCAATCTTTCTATCATTGACCTGATGTCAATGTCTCTCCTTTAAATCTCACTTTTTTCTATAAATTTATCATCTTTTGGAAAAATTTGGAAAAAATGTTGGTTTCTATACTTTCTATGTTTTAAGATGTTTTTTATTTATCAAAAAAATGGGTGGTTTCAAATTTTTCACCGGTAGTATACTTTAAAACAACTTTAAAGCATTTTGGTTAAGGAAAATTAACATTTATATTTTATCCTATTTTTCCCCTTTCTTCAAACAAAATTTCCCCTATTCCCTTTCTTCAGCAATTTTTATGCTGTTAAGCCTGCATTTTGTTGCTCCTACCAAACTTCCTACATGTTTGCACTGCAATCTTGCACGGCAAGCTTCTTGTAAGTTTACTGCAAGTTTTCGTGCTGATTGGGTCTGTTCTGCAATCCACAGTCTTCAATTAGGTTCTTTTAGGAAAAATTTGAGTTATACAAACAATAGAACTCTTCTGTGCATTAAAACACAAAGCTTAATTTCTTGGTGTAGCTTTTTTCGAAAACTAATATTATCATAATCAGGATTTTCTGTTATGGCAGTTGTCAATTTATTTCTGTGAACAAAAAATTTATAATAGATTCTTTTATTACCAATGATTAAGTAACTAATTTGTAGAAATAGTCCCACACGGCACCTAATATTTTTTAAATATTTCATTGAATGATTTGAAATATTTTAATGGAAAGTCCTTGAAATATTGTTGCAATTTGGAAAGTAGCCTGTACAGCTGCGCAGTAGTTATTAATTTTCTGGGATCCTAAGGTGTTAAGCATGTTAGAAAACAACGATAGATTGCATATTTTAAAATATTTCTAATTTTCAATGAAATATTGCAGGAGTCCTAATGTGTCATATTCTAGAAATTTGCATGGCAATATTTCTTCAAAAGCAGACATTTTCCTGTTTGCAACAAGAATTTTCTTGTTTTTCAAGAATTTTTTATTGAAATATTTTAAATCTTTAGTGAAATGTATTTTAAAAATATTTTGAAAATATAATGTGCTGTATGAGAGTTTTAGCAGTTGTTATTTGTTAAATCCGTTTTCGCTATGTGTATATATATTTATTTATTTTTACATGTTCTTAAGCGGTATAGGAACTGTTAAACTTAGAACAACATGCTTTTACTTATTTGATTTTTTATTATGTTCATAAATAAATAAATATTATTTTTAAGTAATTGCCGAAAAAACCTAACTAAAGATATTGTAGAAAAGAAAACCAAAAAAAATGACGGCAAAAGTACTCGGTTTACAATTATTTTGTATGAACATGCAGGACATCACTAAAAGTGAAAGTGACCTCTATATACACGGGAAACTCCCAAGAGCAGTCTTTCCGAGAGCGGACGAACTATCAGCGCGGGGTGGTAAAGAGTGAGGAGGGAAGAGATGGGCGGAATCAGAAACAGAAAGCAGGAGCGTCTGCTTTGAGTGTACCGTTACTTTGCAAGCAGTTTTATTGGCTTATTAATTGCTAAATTTTGAAAAAAATATTAATTATAAAATGACAACTTACAATATTTTACTACAAAAACAAAATATATTAATATTTATAATAATATGTAGAATGTGTTTTGCTAAAAGCACTGGTAGTTCATTGTACGGCCCTGAGTGTTTATAGTATTCCGCGTCAAGGACATTTTTCCGTAGAGCGGACTAAGACTAATGCCGTACGCTCTTAAGAGTTTCCAGTGTATTAGACAAAAAATGACAAAACATTATATTTGAACTTAAATTGAAACTTAAACATTTTGTTGTAGTCAGAGGATTTTAGGGGAGACACGAACTAGAGAGAATGACTTTACGAAAATATACGAAACTTATTGTAAATTCCCATATGAGTTTCCGTATAAAATCACTTATGGTGTCTCCTATAAGATACTACATGAGATCTCATATAGGATCCCACATGGGAACATTTAGTAGTTATTTTTTAAAAAAGTATGAGACATATTTTAGGTTTTCAACATAAAATATTTTTGCTTTATATAAAATGAACTCAAAATTTTGTCAGATTTTGCGTATTTCTTACCGATTTTGAGATATTCATAAATAGATTATAAGATATCCTAAAAAATCCCATATGGGGATTAAGAGTAGAGAAGAGATTGATTAGAGAAGCTTTAAGAGCGATATAAGGTGATACTTATTGGTAGAATGGACGATGGTAATTTTGGTTAGACGCGTGCGTGATTCTATAGCACAAAGTTATAGATAGAAATATAAAAATTCATGTGAAGTGATTTATTTGTTTATATTAAATAAACTTTTTTTGTATTTCAGTTCCGTCTCAATTTTACTTAAATCCCTGCTTGTTTTATAAAAAACTTAACCTGAAAATAATGTATGCTACCTATCCTTTAATTCATAGATGAAAATAGTTCTATAATGTAAATTAAATCATAGATGGCGCTGCACACCACAACTTCGATTATACCCAGTGGGCACCTGTCTTTTTTTGTCCGCGGACATCCTGGGACTTTGATGATAATGTCTCTTAGACATCATAAAGACATACAAAGGACTTCTTTAATACGTTTTATGCCTGGCCAGAAGACATCAAAAAGTCATCCGAAAAGGAAGTTAATTATTTATTATCTTACTTAAATTTTGACTTTATTTTAATTTTTGTTTTATTTGTACACGTTTATACAGAAATCAGGAATGAAAAAATCCAACCGGACTTGGGATCAAACCTGCGATACATTGGGTTCTAACTACGCCTTAAGCATCTGAGCCATCGGAGACAGATAAAATCCTTTCCTAAGTTTACGAACTTATTTGTCAATGAAATTAATCAAAATTAAGAAATTGCTATAACATTTATCTTAAACAGTTTCAATGTTTACGTTGAACTTAGAAAATAAAATATAAAAGTTATTTTTATGAAAAATTTTCTATTTTCAAAATCTGAAAAAGACATCTTTATGAACAGACATCAGACATTTTTTGGACGTACCTCAGACATATTATTCACGTTTTTAAGATACACCATACGGGGACAAATTAAAGACGTCCGCAAAAATACATCCTCAGGACGTCTTTTGGGCAAGTGCTATATTTCAAAAATTCTTAACCTTGTATTTTCAACTAATTATATAAAAAAAAACACCACTAGAAGTCTATGTTAAAATAGTATCCTCTGAACTAATCTCTGAGTTTTACTATTCTCCCAAGAAAATGCGAGAAATATAGAGTTTTTGGTGTTTTTAATTACTAATCCCATGTTAGTTTTAAAAAAATTCAACATGACCAACTCAATATGGTGGCTTTGAGGTCGATGTTGGCTTTTAAAATTCCAAAGTGGCGAATTCAATTGTTGAATTGTCGGTTAAAGTAGATAATCTGTCATTCAAAAGTTCTGTTTATTACCCAGTGGGCAAAGGGACGTCTTAAAGACGTCTTATCTTGTCCGTGGACATACGCGGACAATGATAGTAGAGTCTTGGAGTCATCATAAAGTCAACTAAAAGACGTCCATAAGAGGTTCTATGTCTCGTCCAAAAGTTGTCCGAAAAACGTCTAAAAGACATTGAAAAGGTACTTGGAGACGACTTTTGGACATCCTTTTCACATCTCTTCAGATCTTCTTAAATAGATAATTCTTTCACAATATTTTCTAAGTTGAAATACAGTAATACTGTATTAAATTTGTTTTATGTTTAATTTGATTTTTTTTTAATTATACAGAATTAATGAAAAAATGTCTATTAAGTTGAGATCGAACTCTGATACTTTGAGCTTAAAGCATTGCGCCTTAAGCACCTTATCCGTTGAAGACAAGTATGAACCTCTACAAAGTACACGATCTCACTTCTCAATGAAATGAATTTTACCAGGGGTCCAAATAAAATTTATTTTATAATTAAATAATCGCGGGCGCCAGTCGACTTAATGTCGACAGTTATTTATTAAAATTTAAACAATAAAACTCTAACTTTTATTTAAGGGGGGGGGGGTGTTGGGCGAACCCAATAGATAAGACATAAAATTGGTGGTAAATATTTAATTGGTTCCACTTACTTGTATTTGATATAATTAATATAGTTCTTTTATAAATAACAGACGTCTGATATTATTATATTTCTTTTAACAATAGACGTCTAATATTTTTTATAATATTTCCTTTCAAACAATATCGCCTGATCAGGACTTCACACAACGTATTTTATTACACACAATTATAATAGTAACCTACTATGTCGCGAGCACGAACCAAGAGTGACCATGCCGGTCCTTACCGGCGTCTCGTGAAAATAAACACGTGACGTCAAACATCGCCATGACACATCTAGGACCGTACACTCAAATCTTTTTTTTTAAATTAAGGTTGACTAAAATTCTGAATAAGACGTGTAAAAACAATTCCTGTTACAATCTATTTATGAAAATTTTTCTATTTTCAAATTTTGAGAAGAGAAGACATCTTAAAGAAATCTAATGGCCAAGACATAGAACATTCTTAGGACGTCTTTAAGACGTCTCAATGAGGTCTTTTGTCAGAAGTCCAAAAGACGTCCGCTAAAAGACATCCTTAAGACGTCTTTTGAACAAGTGTGCTCACTAGGTATATTTTGGTTTCTTATCTGTTAGAGTGTATGTAGATATTTTTAAAAAAGTTTTCTGAGGTTAAGAGATATGGAAATTGAAATTGACTTCACCACGTTTTATGCCAGCATTAATGATATATGTGTTTTTAGATAGTACTTGCTCTGTTTGTCCTGAAATTTTTTGTTGATATTGTAAATTTGGCAAACTGCAAGCTCAACGCGATTGGAGTTAATAAAAAAATGTATTATGTAAAAATTAAAACATGTAATTGATTTTACCCTATTATTTCAAATATTCCACAAGCATGCTCAATAAACATTAAAAGAACAATATCTCCATTTACAATTATGGCAGTACAAACGTATGCAGATAAATAATTGTGAAATAATATTAAGTAGAAGTATTTTTTTGAATCTATACCAAAGTCAGTAAGGAAAAGAAGCGACGTAGATTCATTTATATTTTTAAAAATGTTACTTAGCACATTACTAAAATGTGAGAATATGTAGTTTGATACATTTCCAAAAAGTCCAACTGAAAAAGAATAATACTTATAAGAAATAGAAACACAAGGCTTCATTGAAAAAACAGTTAATTATATTTAATTGTATAAACTTAATGATTTTATATAATTCCATAATTATTAAAATAGTTATTTTAAAAATAAAATATCTACAAGTAAATATCATAGTAAAGAATCTGCATTTTTTGCCATATTTGTGAAGAATATCAACTTCATGTTTTGATGTAAATGTGTCCCAATCTTTTTGCATCTTCCAAAAAACAACGTTCATCTACGATGATATTATAATTTTTAAACATGAATCGCATAAAATTAAAAAAATGTTAACGTCAAAAACACAATCATCTACACGCTTATTAAGTAGGTGGCATGTTTTACTGGATCATGTACAGTAGTTTTTAGCATGAATACATAGAGAAACTGCTTACTAATTAGAGTTTATAATTCCCAAATGAAAATAAAGGTTCCTTTATAAAAATTCGTATGAAATTCCAGGTTTCACATAGGAAAACACATTGGATTCCATGTTAAACGAATAGTACAACGGGGAAATGATGTTGTTTATGATTTCATGTGGAAATTTACGTTTTTGTTTCTACATAGAAATTTTGTCACTCACGTGAAAACATGACAAAATTTCTCGCAACATTCGTGTTTCCCTATATTAAATCTTATGACAAATATTATATGTTTAAAAATGAATCCCTTACATATATCCTATGTAGAATCCTATTTTAAATATTTTGTTGTTATAAAAATTCCTAGAATAAATCTCACTTGGTAACTCAAAAAATTTCCTATATGAAAACTTACATCAAATCTTCTATGAAATCCTCCGTATGGTTTTTACATAAAAATTCTTGTCTAAAATCTCATGTGAATTTTGTATGAATTTTTTGTATTTGTTATTACGAATTATGTTTACCAGGAATTCCTATTTAAAAACCCATATGAAATCCTAATTGATTATAAGAATTTAAATTGTTAAAATTTGACGGTATGTAGTTTTGTGATTGCATTTGTAATGATTAATTTTTTTATACTACAAATAATTTTTAATACTCATTTATATTTAATTTAAAGATTAATAAATTTTGATGTGGAATATAAATAAATACAAAATCGCAAAATCGCAATCGTTCAGTGTTTAATGTACAGTAAAGTGTAATTAAATTTTTTCTAGTCGCCATTTTTCTCGCATTATCCCCACCCTCGTTAACTAAAAGTGGAGGGGATTAACTAGTATATGTAGAAGTACTTCGAACAGTTCAATAACATTTTTTTGTAACAAATGGCACGTTTCGCGCAAAATTGTTAAGTGGCACGTACAGTTTTTCTAGGAACTGCATAGTGTCATTTTATACATAAAATAATAAAGCAATAATAATCACTGTTGATATTATTGATAATTTACAATTTTGATAATTTCTCTTATTATTTACATTTTGCTATTTGTTTATTTGATAATATTGCATTCTTTACAATTATTTATATATATATATATATGTGTATATATATATGAGAGATTCTTTTTTAATCGCCCCAGCCCAAAAAGTGAATGTTCTGAGATTGGCTTCATACTTTGGTAAATTGTTGTCCTATATGATAGTAATAAATCCCTAAAATATGAACTCATTAAAAAAATATTTGTGGAAAGTAGAGGGGTTTGAAGTTTTGACGTTAAGGGTAAAATTGTCATATTCATATCCGTGTAACTATAACAAAAGTTAGTGGATTTTAATTTATCTATAATGAATTTTAATGCATTTTTCATGTACTTTTCAAAAATGTATACAAAATTTAAAAACCAAAATTTCACCCCTTTTTCAAAATCAACCCTTATTTTTCGATTTTCACCCCTTCGGGAATTTTTTTTTATTTTCATTGGAAAGCTGATGTTTTTTCCCATGAGCTATGTAAATATGAAAGTGGGACAACAATAATTTTGTCAGAAACATAATATTAAATTAGGCGGTGCCTACCTAAATCCTCGAAGATGATCTCCAGGTATACCCGTTATCGGCACCGCCTACTTTATTATTATGTTTCTCACAAAATTATTGTTGTCCCACTTTCATATTTACATAGCTCATGGGAAAAAATCATTTCTACAAATATTTTTTTAATGAGTTTATATTTTAGGGATTTATTACTATTATATAGGACAACAATTTACCTCAGTATGAAGCCAATCCCAGAGCATTCACTTTTTGGGATGGGACCCAACATACATATATTTGTATACTTAGGGTCTATTATACATTAGTCATACTTTTATTCACGCTAATTATAAGGAAGAAGTCTTTATTACTTGCGGTTTCCACTATATCGACATTTTAACTGTAACCTTTTGTCGACTAATTATCATATCTTATGATAAGGAGTTAAGGTTATTTTTAATTAATGTTATCGACACTATAAATTCTATTATCAAGATAATTTCAACCATAAATAATGCCATTATAATTTCATTTTATGAGTAATAACAACATTATTCAATCTATTTTGGATTATTATTATTATTATTTGAAATTACTTGTTTTTAATTTTTCTGTTAATCATGTACGCAGAACGGTTAATCTTCATTAAGCGACCTTTAACTTGTAAAATGCACATAAAGCGTAAGAAATGTTTTTGTTTAATTAGTAAAATAGAGTTATTAAAATTTTTTTAAATTATGTCGGGATGTAACAGCAAGCTTGCTGCAAGCTTGTATAATACTAAAAAAAATTCGAAACAATTTGTTACTAAATAAACATAAAAGGTACCCTGCTTTGGAGGTTATAAAATGTATTGCGCAGCCGTAGGAGCTTCCGTTTACAACTGCGCATCGTATTAAGTTTTGCAAACTTATAGCAAGCTTGCGCCAACGTTGACCTGCAAGTTTGACACAAGAGGACATTTTGTTGCTTGCACCAAACTGGCAAGATGTTTTGCACTGTAATCTTGCACATCTTGCACGGCGCAAGCTTTTTGCAAGTTTTCGTGCTGATTGGGATGTTATGGTATCGTTATGTAATTCGCTCAGTTAGATCTTTGGAAGAACTAATTACTTCTTTGAAACAGTTTTACCTGTCACCATCGGAGCTGAGAAACTTGGAATCTCAGATTTCTAGAAGACTACAACATAGAAGTGAATCAATTTGTGACTTCAGTATTACGCTACGAACATAAATAAGAAGACACGGCTGTTATGATAAAGTGCGTGAATTAGACAAACGTTATTCGCATATGTTACCAGTATATAAACTCCATATCAGAATAACATAAGTGGATGAAGTCAACGATATTATGTAATTTCTATTATTGAAATTTTTTTTTTGAATTGAGTAAAAGTTGATATAGAATCTTCAAAGTTGATGTTCAAGAATGAAATATACGTGGTGGGACGGACAAAATATTTATAATTTGTCTATTTTTTTAAATAAACAATTTTTATATATATATCTGGGTATGTACTATGCGACTATGCTATCCAGCTAGGGTAAAATAAAATATGGTTTAATGTTATAATTACCGGCAAATAAAATAATAATTATCCGTATATATTGTTTTGCAAATTAAAATTGTTGAACAATTATTGTTTAAACAAATTATAAACAAGGTGTTCAATTCATGACCATTTAGCTTCCTCATCATGATAAACTTATATTTAAAATTAAAAGAAGGATTACATCTAAAGTAGCAATCAATTTTACAAATATTGGTAAAATGTAAACTTCATATACATCAATCGTTTTTATGACAGGAATACGGTTTTGACAAAATTTATTAAAAATTTTGATGAAAAAAAAGTTATTTAAAAAAATACGAAAAATTGTTTTTTTTTAAATTAAAAATGATATAATTTATAGATTTAAAGTAAAATATAGACTTTATATAGATTAATCAATTTGTTTTAATGGCAAAAATCAGTTTCTTGGACAAAAAAATTATATTTACAGTATAAATCAATTTTTGGTAAAAAACGTATTTTCGAATTTTTGAAAGTGACATAAAAAAAATTATTTTGATATTTTTGGAAATCCTTGTGTCTGATTTTAGGTATTGATGACTGCAATAAGCCTATAAAATTTGAGGACAATCCATTGAAGTGTATTAGAGTTAATTTGTACACAAGATTTTGTACCATACACACACACATATACAATGTGAAATTTAAAACTTCAAATATATGCATTCTAGATAAAAATAAGCCCATATAACTAATTTTTAAAAACTCGAAAATGGTCACGAATACAAATCCTCCTAATGAGGAGAGGAAGCAAAAAGTAAAATTTTTTGAAAAACTATGTATCCTAATCAATTCTACATGAAAAATTAAAGAAGATTGTTTAAGGTTCTTGTTTGTAAAAGTTTTATTTTTTTGTTCATATGGGCATATCTTTGAAACCTTTAACTTTTCAATAAGAAAAAATTTTTTTTTTGTTTTTGAGCACAGTATTGAAACTCTGTCTACATAAACTTCAAGAACTAAGCTTTCCAATTATACAAGTGGACAGATAAAACAAGTTGTCTTCAAAAAGTTATAAATATTTAAAATTGAGAATTATTTTTAACCTGTAACAAAAAAATATTCAACAGGTGTTTGCTTTTTAGGATAAAAAACAGTTGAAGGGAATTTTCTAAGGGGTTATAATTTTAAAAAGCAATAAAATTCGTTTAATATTTTCAATATTTATGTGAATAATAAAATACTGAAATAATGCACTGGGTATAAAAGCATGTGTCAAAAATTAACTAGATATATAAATTTTTTATTTGAATATTTACATTACATTTTAAAATAGATTTTTATTATAGTGAATTGTTTTAAAAATGTAAAATTGTAATTTTTAAAATTTATCATACGATTTTCATAGACTTTTTTCTATTTAAATTTAATATTCGTAAACTTTCCAATTTCTTTTCTATTTTTCTCTTCTCTCGCATCTTATCTTTTTTCAGAATGAATTTTTTTGGATCCATTTTTGTGTCTCGAAATAAACATTAAAACTTAACCTTCAGGTTTTAATAATTAATGACAGTTTCTATAAAAAAAATTATAATCGGCAACTTCGTACATAACAATTTCTTTCTAAAAAATTTCAGTCGATTACGGTCGACCGTAATTGATGAATATTTTTACATTATCTTTGCAATAAAGTATTTTTTCTCGAAGCACATTCACGGGATGTTAAATGGCACATGTGAAAATATATACAAGTACTTTTCGAATACTTTTATATGATTTTCATGAAGTATCACTCGTATTACGGTTGTTTTCAAATTTTGTCCACGCGTGTTTTCGTTTATTTAACTTATAATAGTTTTCTGAAGACATGAAGCACATCAATTTATTATGTCTCAAAATAATTATAGTAACTTGATCTTTGATTTCCCATAAGTTATTTTAACGTGCCGCTTGTCTTATAAAAGAAAAATCATAAATACGATGATTACGGTCGAAAAGGTTAAAAGTGAGGGACAACTTTTAAAAGCTTATAAATTTTTTCACAATTAATAAAATATTAATTTCCCTGCGAAAATGTGTTCACCGATTAATTAACATTGAAAAACCATATTTCAGAATTAGTAATTTTTATTAAATCTAAAACTATATCGTTTAAAGCATCAGAAAGTATGGTTAAGGACAAGTAGACATTGTTAAAAATCGCGTATTAAAATTGAAATAATTATTTATTTATTTAATAAATTAAAGTGGAATCTTTTGGAAATGATTGATTGTATCAAGCATTAATATTTCCAACAAAAACCGACGAAAAATTTATTAAAATTACCAAAATATATGCGAGGGACATTAAAGTTAAAGGTTCTAGAGATATGCCCATATATATGTTCCACTTTTTCACACTTTTTTAATTTAGTTGATAAAACTTGGTAATAGCGCTTCTTGTATTTTTTACACTTCTTCTCTAATTCCTTTATTTTATCAGCTTTCAATTTAATTACTGCAAGACGCTGCTTTCTTATTTTTTTTACTTTATTCCTGAGCCACTTGACGCTTTAAGGAATTCGAGGGTGTTATATCATTTTTTTCTTTTTTTTGGTTTTGTCTAAAGCGAGATGAACTTTCTTTCCACTTTTCTTGTTTTTCAGTCTGATTTTGAGGTGATCGTTGCACTTGATTCTTGTACCATAATTTTCATTTTTCCAAATATTATGCTCTTTTTACAGGATCTTCATTCATTTTTTGTACATTTTAATCTGGAAAGAAATAGCGAAAATAATTGCTGGAACTTTGTGGAAAACTATGAAGTAATTTATGATAATTTATGACACATTCTTAAACATTGAATATTTATGAAATTGATAGAAATTTATTAAACAAAATTCAAAAGATCCATTTTTGAAATTTATGCTGTAATTAACAATCAATTATCAAGCAAAATTAAAAATTGAAAAAAATCGGAAATTTATGGACATTTATGTGGTAATTTATGGACGTTTATGTAATTATTTATTACTTACCTAAAGTTCAATGTTTAAAACAAATTATTTTGCTTCACTTTCTATGTGTACTTATAGACACTTCAGTGATACACGCCGTTCAATGGAGAGAAAGCCTTACCATGAAGTGCTATTACCAAGTGTTATCAACTAAATTAAAAGAGAGTGGAAAAGTTGAACATATATGAATATGAAACAAATATTTCGTTTAAGTTTAAGAATAAAAATTTTATTCCAAAAAAAATTTGTTAATTTTTGAAATCCTATGGCAGAAATAGACATGAGAAATGATTTTTTCTTTCTCAATTTCCATCTGTTAGAAAATAATTTGTTTAAAAAAATTTTAAAGACGTTACAATTATTTTTAAAAACTGCATTGACTAAAACCACTTTCTTATATACTTTATTTGTTTATAAAAATTATACAAAAAAATAAAACTTTTACAAACAAGAACCTTAAACAATCTTCTTTAATTTTTCATGTAATGCAATCGTGCGATGCAAGTTAAGCACTTGACGTGCGAGTAAGTCAATGCGTGTTATAACGGACGCATATCGCATTCATGAAGTGATGGCTGCACTAGTGCATGTACAGTGATTAACATTAGGGTTTCCCTCATGTGAGTAAGTTCTCGCACGTGTAAAGGTATCATGTAGCCACGTAAATTAGCACATAGATATTTCTCAAAATTGTTTTATACAAGTTGGTTTGTATACACAGTATAGACGGGTCTAGAAATTTTACACAAGTGCAAAAGAATTTGATAAATTTTGTATATTCAAATGGGTTCACAATAAGACGTCTTTTTGTGAAAAATGTTATAAAATTAATTATCAAAACAAAATAATATTAGTCATATTAGTCTTTTAGTATAAGCATTCTCATTTTCCGTTTAATGTCAAAACATAACCTCAAAATTTCATCATTGAAAACTGTATTTACTTTTTATAAAATCATTAAATTTCACTAAGATTACTAATTAAAAGTATCGTAAGATAACAAAAAAAATCAACTTAGAAAATATTAAATCTGTCATTTTTACAACTTTTTTAATTCAAGATTTTTGTTGTTATAAATAAATAAATTGCTAAAATGACAGATTGACTTTAACCAAATTAAAATGGAAGTTTGTGTTTTTTCAAAAACAAATTATTTGTAGAATTCGCGTATATGGTACCGAAACTATTGTAAAATGCGCAGAAAATTCTTTTCATGTAGGTAACATTAATCTTATACAAATTCTTGTATAGGTCACTGGGGTCAAAACGCGTTTTTTATTGAGAAATATGTAGCTCTTTTATAATTGACAGTTTAAAGTTTACACTAAAAATAAATTAATTTGTCTAATAGTCAAGTTTAACGACAATTTCTACAATTTAGCATCACGTAATATATTATATTCGTTTTAACTTAATTTATTAATAGAATATGATGTAGACTTATTTGACCATCATGCATGCGACTCACATGCATCGCATATGAGGACGCATCTGTTTGGTCCAGTGAAAGCACGCGTGCGGGTCAAACGGCACGCGTGCTAGCTACATGTCTGATACTGTGAGCGCATTTTGCTATCTGAGACAGATATATGTGACAATTGTTTATTTAAAAAAAACAGACAAATTATAAATATTTTGTCCGGCCCACCACGAATATTTCATTCTTAAACATCAACTTTGAAGATTCTATATCAACTTTTACTTAATTCGAAAAAAAAATTTCAATAATAGAAAGTACTAAATCATGCGCTACGCGGAGAATCATATATATATTGTAACGCGGCATTGGGTCGCGTACAAATGGCCTAAATTAATAAGTTATTAGCAATTTTGTAAATAAACGTAGTTTGATTACGTAGTTTGAATTGAAAATAAAATAATTAAAATTAAATTCATTAATCTCACCCTTAAAAATCAAGGTTACAAATAAAAATAATTAAAAGTAAAATAAAAATCAATAATAACCAAAAATCATACGTTATAAAATATATAAAAAAAATATTTTTTTCCTGTTCTAAAAAATTGCCAAAATTACAAAAAAAGAATTATAAAAGTATTAATATAGGAAAGAATATGAGATTTCATGTTCACTTTTACATATGAATCAAAGATTTCACATGGACTTGAACAGAAGAATTCATATGGGATTTCATGTAGATTTTTAAATATGAACCTAAGATTTTTTATCCGTCTTTACATTTAAAGTTAAAAATAAAGTACTTAATTGGATTACTTGTTTTACTTTCAGAATGTTATTTATAAAAATCGTTGCACTCATTGAAGCATAACATGCTGGTGGAATGCACATCAATACCAAGTCAATATTATCAAAAACTTTTATCATTCCTGCAATCTAATTTTACTAAAGTATATCCCAGTAAAAAAAAGAATTGGGAGAAAGCGAAAAGAATCAGTGGTAACTTAAGCTGAATTCGGTTTGGCGAAAAGACCGAATTGGAACGTTACGGTGAATTACTTTTTTCTTACCATGAATTCTTTTCTTTTGAACATTTGAACTGACGTTTTTTTATTCGAGTTTATATTATAAACTAGCAACTTTGTCGTCCGCAAGCGGCCGACTACGTTGCTAGTGTGCATTAACCATATTTTTTATTCATTTTTTTTTCAAAAAAATTTAATATTAGAAATGTAAAAAAAAATTCTTTATATTGGATCTACCACCCAAGTAGCAAGGAATATTGCTCGAATGTCAAGCTGATATCAAGCGGCAATATTTTTGTGACATTCAGGCGAAATCATAATGTCCTCTTCACGGGGACATTCCTCGGTGATGTATCTATATGATCTATGTGACGGCCTTTCACACAAAAAATGTAACGCATTACAAAACTTACATTCTACATTTATTAAACCTAAATAATTCTGTGGAACTTTACTTTCATTGAAATCTTTAAAAGACATTATTGCAACTCCTGCAGTTTTTTTATTCCAATTATCGTTTTTACATGCCAAATTCTTTTCTTGACGCACTTTCTTTTCATCTTCCGTTTCCGTAGAAAATTTTTTCTTCTTAAATGACAAATTATTTTCTTGACGCACTTTCTTTTCATCTTGAGTTTCCATTGATATATTGCTTTTCCTACATGCCAAATTTTTATCCTTGCGTATTTTCTTTTCATCTTCAGTTTTTATAGATAATTTCTTTTTTTTTGCATGTCAAATTTTTTTTTGCGCTCTTTCTTTTTTATATCTGTTTTATTACGATTACGTTTTCTCAATCTCTCATTCTCCTGTCTTATTATTTTCTGCTCATATGTAACTTCGCGCCTAGCCTTCCTTTTTCTTCCCTTCTCTTTAATTGCTCGAATTATCTTTTTATCATTTTCTTTACTCAGAAAATTCTTCATTTTTAAATATTCATGTGGTGAAATTTTGTTCACATTATTATCAGTTGTACGAATTATTTTCTTTTCACTAGTGTCATTTAGAGAATGTTTAATTTTTAAATATTGTGTTAATAGAACTCTGTTAATATTATTACTGTGCAAAGTATTAAAAACAGAACAAGAGTTTAAAATATAATTTTTATGTTCCTAAGTTCAATTTATGAAAAGACGGTTCTAATTATATTCTCTATTATCGAATTCCTATTGTGAGACGTTCTTACTGCCAGAAAATGATTTAAGCGATTATTTTCAAACATTGACTTAAAATGGTTTCTCATTTTGTTATTATCAGTTTCACAATTTACACGGTTTGGCATTACGTTAAATAATACAGATGTTGCAAATGCTATTGCATATACTCCACACTAAACACTACCAAAAAGTTGTTGATTAACAGCTTCAAAAACTACTGTTGGTTTAAAAGGGAACAATCTAATTAAACATTTTATTTGATGCACAATTTTCTGGGGCTCTAATACAGGTAGGGGAGAGTGATAAACAGTGGGACAGTTTAAACAGTAGGTCACTTTAATTTTCTGAAAAACTACTAAAGAAACTCGACCAAAATTTAAATGTAAACCATGTTTATGACAACAAACTATATATACGCATGCGCATTTATACTTACACAGCGACTAAAAATGTGATTTTTTATGCTAAAAAACATTAAAAAATTCAAAATTTATAATTAATACAATTATTGTTCGGCAACATTTGAAAAATAACACTTCATAAGAGAACGACTATTCAATTTTTCCTCCAAATTGTTTTTATGTTATGACGAAATTATGACGTATGATCAGCAGTACTGTAAACGTAAAAAAAAATAATAACAATTTTTTATATGAAACTTGACATCGTATTATAAAAATGTAAAATATTATTAAAATATAAGTGTTTTGCAACATTTGTTAACGTTATTTAATGCAAAACATATATATTTATAAAGTATAAAGCAGAATATTTTTATTGAAACAAATATTCATTATTTAATAATAGGTGTCCCACTGTTTAACACAAACCTTGAAAACAAGAAAAATGTATCAAGTTCCAAAAACTTGAAATTTTTCTATTTAATAACAATATAATTTAAATAGAATATATGCATTATGTGGAAAAGAGTTCAAACTTTATGGTAATTCCAAAAAGTGGACAAAAATATATAAAATTGAAAAAAAGTGATCTTATGCCATTTTCAATCGTCTAGATACAGAAACGCAATGTTAAACAAAGAAGTACTTATGTTATATTTCTTGGTGTAAGAAAGAAAGGTATGCATTACCTATTCAGTTTTAGACTTTCTTTATAGTTTTTTCACGTGATAAAGGGACAAAGAAATTATTACCTGGGTCCTCAGAGTTATTAATTAATCCTCTTTAAAAGATTGCAGGTCAAGCGAACCCTCATTTGCAAAATAAAGATATATCTTTCTCTCTCCATAACTTGTTCTTTTCTCTGTCACCGAAAACCCAGCAGGGGTCCGGACGGAATGAATGAATGAATGAATGAATGAATGAATACCAAGATTATTATAGTTAATTAATAGAATAAATGTTTTGAAGTCTAAAAAAGCCGATTTAAAATAAGAAATATATAATTTTTTAAAATGAAATAAAAGTGAAATGTGACAGTGAGTAGTGTTCATATGATAAATTTACCATGTGACTACTACTATCATGGTAAAATTGTCGGTAAATCTGTCACACTTCGTTTTTATTTCTTTTTAAAAAATTATATATTTCTTATTCCAAATCGTTTTTTTTAGACTTCGAAACATTTATTCTATTCATTTATAATGCAAAAAATAATTCACCGTAACATTCCAATTCGGTTTTTTCGCCAAACCGAATTCAGCTTAAGTTACCACTAATTCTTTTCGCTTACTCCCAATTCTTTTTTTTACTGGAATAACATATTTAATACAACTTCTGAAATAATTGTATATTACCTGAGTAATTAGAAAAGAACAAATAACAAGAAAAAATAAGGATTTAATCCATATGTTTAGCCACTTGGAATGATATTGACTTTGTCCTGTAAGAATCATAACATATCTGATAATATTGTAGTACGGATTCTTTACTATGTCCATCTCTTTGATATTTACACAGTGTTAGCGAAAAATAATATGAGTGTTAGTTTCGCCTATAAGCACCAGAAATCGTCTGAATCTATAGCGGCTATTTAAATATTTAAGTTGATAAAATGTAATTTCCAAGAATTGTTAGCCGTACCTATAATTATAATAATTGCTATTTCTAAAATTTAACTTAAAGAGTGGAGAGTTTCTGCAATTATAATAATTACATGTTGGAAAGGTTTTAACTTAGTGTAAAGAAGTTAATCAATATCATTGCATTATAGTGGCTATAGATTCTATAAATAATACAAAAACAGGAATCAGTTTCCGATTTTACTTTAAGGACTATGTTCCTCGTGATAATTGTAGTACATATTTATTACGACTATGTTAAGATAAAATAAGAGTATGGAAATTTTTTAATTGTAAAGAAGCGACAGTAAATCTGTTGTTGACTTATTAAATTTCTCAGTATGATTCCACACTTTATTGGGTAACATAAAAGTAATGTGAAGTTTACGCAAATATTGTTTTGCCAAATTTATATAGGAGCTATGACATTCAAGGGGTTAAACTATTTTAGCACGTAAAAAAGGGGCCTAATTTTAATAATTTCTTTTATAAAAAGTTTAAAAGTAATGAAAAATATGATTATATATCTTTATTGAATACACTTTAAAGAGAAAAAAATATACTTCATAAATTTTTTTTTTAAATATCATGTTTACAGGAACGTGATAGAAACTCTTTCTGAGGAAAACTACTTCGCGACCGGAAAGATTTTTGATATAATTTTCATCCTAGAACAAAAAACAAAATTTTTTCTATCTATAAGTTAACTAGAACTAGAACTACCGACGGGACATTTTGTCCCATGTCAAGGTTGCTACGGTTTCGTAATTTCAAAATTCCCTGACATTTCCAGGTTTTCCAGCCCATTTTTCTTAAAATTCCCTGACCAAATATACAATTTTTATATTAAAGTTTTAGCTTAGGGGAGACTCGGGTAGCCTTGGACACTTAAACTTTTTTGTAAATAAATTCTATAAATAACACAGGTTTACAAATTTCAAATTTTTTTTTGTCACTCGAACAAAACGTATTTTTTTCGATTAATATGTGTTTTTTGAGTAAGAAAATCATATTTAAAATTTTTTTTCCTCGTGCAATTTTTTTGTAACAGCAAATTATGCATTTTCCAGGTGTGACGTCACTTAAAGTCACCGGTAGAGAAAGCAGTTAATCCAAATGTAAAAAATAAATCACCATTTGAAAGATAATTAAATTACCTCTCAAACCATTGGTCAACCAATAAAATCTATTCAAAATTTTCAGAGTTACAGTCGATCAAAGTTCAAATTTCAAGCAAATTTTAATGATTTTTAGACATTCGTCTATCTTTCGATAATTTTTTTAAAGTCAAACAATCAAAAAAAAGCAAGTTTAAATTTTTTTTTAATAATATATTTAATAACGAAACTTTTAAGCCTTTATAGACTTCGATCGGATAAAAATTGACAATTCTACACTAGATTTAGTGAACAAAGTACTTTTTCACTTTTAGTATATTTTCAAGTGATTACGATCTATATCAGTTTTGTATAAATTAAGTTAAGCGAAGCTCACCAAAATGAGTACTCGGAGGTTTTCGGGGTCTCTGATTACGAATTCGAGATCATTTTTTGAAAATTCAAAATGGCGGATCCAATATGTCCGACAAAATTTTAATAATTAGAAATGAATTTTGAAAAACAGACCTCAGATTCGTAATCAGCGACCACGAAAACCCCCGAGTACTCATTTTGGTGTACTTAGATCTAATTACTAAAATTTTGTTTGCCATATTGGATCCGCCATTTTGAACTTTGAAAAATTGACTTTGAATTCGTAATCAGCGACCCTGAAAACCCCCGAGTACTCATTTCGATGAGCTTCGCTTAACTTAGTTTTATACAAAACTGATATAGATCAAAATCACTTGAAAATAAACTTGCCTTTTTTTGATTGTTTGACTTTGAAAAAATTAGCGAAAGATAGACGAATGTCTAAAAATCATTAAAATTTGCTTGAAATTTGAACTTTGATCGACTGTAACTCTGACAATTTTGAATAGATTTTATTGGTTGACCAATGGTTTGAGAGGTAATTTAATTATCTTTCAAATGGTGATTTATTTTTTACATTTGGATTAACTGCTTTCTCTACCGGTGACTTTAAGTGACGTCACACCTGGAAAATGCATAATTTGCTGTTGCAAAAAAATTGCACGAGGAAAAAAAATTTTAAATATGATTTTCTTACTCAAAAAACACATACTAATCGAAAAAAATATGTTTTGTTCGAGTGACAATTTCACTGTAAACCTGTGTAATTTATAAATATTAATTTAATTAGTTTATAGGAAAAACAATGTATCTATTAAACCATAAAAATAATTTAATCGTAAAATAAATATATTCATTGAGAAAAAAATAATAACAAATATGTGTAGAGAAACACTAACCTTCAAAATTTTGTCGGGTTAAATAATTAACATTAATATATGTATACTATATGTATGCAAAAAAAATTAAATTAAATAGACAATAAAACATTTAAATGGTTACACAGCCCCACAAAAAAAAAGTGTCATGTACTTTTGACCGGAATACCCTATCCCTATGTATTTTGACGCGCTGAACACGAATCCGAAGTCCGTTTTGCTCCATCACGTCAGGATTTTTTTCTAACCTCAAAAAACATGTCGGATTTTGAGAGATACGCGATTTTAAAAAAAATTTATTTATTTACTTCAAACTTGGTATCTAGGGGTTTTTTGGGTCGCTGATTACGAATCTGACGTCAGATTTAAAAAAAACAAAAAAATACGTGTTAAATTGTTTTCAAAGAACTACAAAACTGACAAGTTTCAGAAAAAACGGCGTACGATACTTCCCTAGTGTTACTTGTCAGCAACATAGAAAACCTGTAGATACCAAATTTCATAAAAATCTGACAATTTTTTAAAAATAATTTCTTATTATTTAATCAGACATATCGAATTTCGGAAATCTGACATCAGATTCGTAATCAGCCACCCAAAAAACCTCTAGATACCAAGTTTGAAGTAAATCTTAAAATTTTTTCAAAATTCGTCCGCCATATTGAATCCGCCATTTTGGATTTTGAAAATCTAACTTCAGATTCGGAATCAGCGACACAAAAAACCCCCAGATACCAAGTTTGAAGTTAATACATCAATTTTTAAAAAAATCGCCTACTTCTCAAAATCCGACATGTTTTTTGAGGTTAGAAAAAAATCCTGACGTAATGGAGCAAAACGGACTTTGGATTCGTGTTCAGCGCGTCAAAATACATAGGGTTAGGGTATTCCGGTCAAAAGTACATGACACTTATTTTTTTTGTGGGGCTGTATTATTAATTAACAAATTTGTTCTGTGTCTAAATTGTAAAATTAGTTATCGAAGGTTTTTTTAAATTGGAGATGAGGCAAATGAATTACATTCAAAAGTTTTATTTTGTTTAAAATCTTTGGAAACAGCATAGAGTAGGTCTGAACTTAAAAATATTAATACAAAATTGAATATCACTTTGTCATATACCTAATCAGTTCCAGTATGTTAAAATTAGAGTCCACAGTAAGACAGTTCAACTTTTATAACAAAAATATACTTTACTTAAACTAGATAAAGTAATGATCACTTTATAATCTGATAAAATATTTTAAAAAACATTAATAAATAAAATTAATTAGTCAGTTATTATGAAAATAAACAATCTTTCAGACTTTTACTTAAATTGCAAGCAAAGAGTTTTTACCCGATATATGGATATCTAGTGCCGTTTTACCCATGTTGCTGAGGCTGAAGCTGGAGTGGCAAAGAATGTATTGGGCTTTGTAGGCATTGTCATGGGGCTTCTACAATACGTCCGAAAGGCAAGTCCAACTCCATGTCCAAATCCAAGTCCCTCGGACATGGGTGCGCGCGCACGTTGTTGACAACTGTCGCTGAGTTGTAAATGAAAAAAAAATTCGACAGATCTCGTTCTCGTGATTTTGAGGTTATACGCACGTTATATACGTTTGTGCTGTTTGTAGTGCTATATAAAGGCTGAATAAAAATATTTGTTGTTGTTGCCGCTGCCGTCTCATCGTTTTCTAAAGGTAAAAAAACTATAAATTATTAATCTCTCAACTTGCTGTTCTTCAATATAAATTTTTCCTTTATAAATAAAAACCTTTCTCCCTAATATTCCGCACGCATGCAATGTTTGTAATAAAAATTATAGAATAAATAAGATTAACTTTCAATACAAAACATTTTTGTTATGTTTTGTATTGATAGTTGATTGCCATTATAACAAAATTTTTTGATAATTTTGATTTGACAATATTAAAAAGGGGTAGAATTATTGGGCGTTTTCGGCAATCACTGGCAGTTACTGGAACCAGTGAACAGTGGTACGCATATGATTTATTTGGCTATTAAAAAAAAGTAAACTTTAAATAATTTCATTATAATTGAGTACAACTGTTCACTGGTTGCAGCAACTGCCAGTGATTGGCGAAAACGCCCATTATAAATATAATCTTAAATTGTTTTGCTTATTAGATACCTTTTTTCTATAGCTTTTTTCGAAACACAAATTGAGTCGTGATAATCGTGATTAAGTCTTATTAATTTTAAACCACATTTTTAAACAAAAACAAAAAGGTTTGAAATTTTTCAACCTCGGATTTTAATTTCAAAAGACATTTTCATTAACTAAAAAAATTTTTCAATTTCTTGGTTTGACAGATATTAATTGTACAAGACATATTTATCAATTAAATAAATATTTTGATTTTTTTGCTCCATGAATATTAATTGTAACCTATATTTTCAAATTCTAAACCTATAGTTCGATTTTTTGTTTCTCGGATTTTTTTAACAACCCTTAAAAAGATTTAAATTTTATAATTTCGAAGTTTTGAACGTTCAAATGAACAACCTTTTTTTACTGTAGAACTATTTTCCAAAATTCTTGTATTTTTAAGGGAAAATGACAAGTAATATTTTGTTGTAAAATTGGAATCTAAAAAAAAATATTAAAAATTTAGTTCATTTGAACGTTCAAACTTTAGGGACATTACATTTTTCTGATTTATTGTTTTCTTCTTACAGATATGGAAGACAATAATATTCTTCTCATTCGCTTGGTACAAATGTACCCATGTATTTACGAAAAGGCGACGGAGGATTACAGGGACAATCTAAAAAATAAGGAAGCTTGGAATAAAATAGTTACTATTTTTAATGAGAGAATGCAGTGTAACCTCAAAGGTAAGCGTAACATTAAATTTCTGTCGAAAATTCGATAAAAATTACTTTCTGTAAAATTAGTTTTTATCTAAATAACAATTATGCATTGTATCAAATCACAACTGCATAATAAATGTGGTCCCTTTTTTAATGTAGTGCCACAAGCAATGAATAGGTGGAAGACGTTGAAGGACGAATAAGCGAAGGAAAGATTGAGATTGAGGGCCTACATTCCTTCTGGGTCGGCAGCTCAAAAAGCTCCTCGAGTAGAATGGCCCTACTACTTTGAGATGAGCTTCATGCAGCAAATTATAGATCACATGGGGTAATAATAGTTGTGGATTATTTGTCTATATTTTTTGTAAAGTTGTGTACAGAAAGCTATTTTTTCAAAATTTTAAAATGAGAAAAAAATTAGTTAATCTTTATTATTTTTAGTGAAACTCATTATTTTCCACCAGCAAAATTTAAATTAAAAAAAATATCTCTTAAAGTATTTGAGATATTTATTTGTGAATATCTTATCTTCGAGAACGGAGCAATAAAATAATATTTAAATAATTTTGTTTCAGTTACGTCAAATCTTTCCAAAGAGCACGCCCTCAAGAAGAAGAAGAAATAGAAGTATAGGATGAAGATAAAGAATGATTTATATAAGTTGTGCAAAAAGCCCGAAACCCGACCCGAAAATTTCAGGCTTTACAATTTTCGGGTCGGGCTTTTTCATTAACCCGAAAAATTTAATTTTATTTATTAACAAAAAAATGTTTGAATTTTCGCGATTGAACTTTCTCGATACATCCAGTTCTCGAAAGTTTTGAAAAAATTTTTTTTTGTTAACTTGAGTGGTTTCAAAAACCCTAAAAAATTTTTTAGCCAGCCGTTTACGAAATATGAATTTTTCCAACTTTTTGATTGTTAAGAAAACATTGTCTTTAATTGCTCATAACTTATACAGAAGTGGATCAATTTTAATGTTAGTTATATAAAAATTTTTAGTTTTTAGATCAACTTCTCGAAAATTTAATGCGACAAATTACCGAAAAGTTATTTAACAATTTTTTTTTAATTTGTAGGTATCTTTATTTTATATTTACAGTATAAGCATTGTGATTTATTAACATTGCAATTTGTCTTTTCAGGTTTATTCCCCAATTCTGAAACATCTACTTTTGATACTCCCACTGTCGCTGCCACTGTGCTGCCTACTGCTTCCGAGAATTCTTTGACGGAAAGAAAAAATATATTAAGAAGGGAGCAGATTTTTCTTTTTCACGATACGTGGAAGCTCATCCCGAAAGAGAAAAAATGGTCATGCTTTAATGAGTTGATGGAATTAATTAAAAAATAATTGTGTTATATTTACTATGTAATTTTTGCTTGGTCCAAGCAACAATTGGGTGTCTACTGGTCCTGGATGTCCTGGAATTACTAATTAATAAATAAATATTAACTTTTATTGTTAAATGAATAAATAAATTCACTACTTTTTAAAATAAATTGTTGTTTCGTTTTTTCTGCTTTTTTGGTTTTTTCAAAATGAAAAATGTGTTGTATTTTTAGCGATTAAGTGAAATTGAAAGTCGTAAAAATAGATGCAAAATTAAGGAAAAACAATTTAATTTATTAAATTAACTCATTGGCATTAAAATAATTAGAACTTTTATTGGATAGAAGTTTCTAACGTCAATCCTGACGAATTTCGAAAATTGTTAATTGTTGCACTTTACTTAATAATTAATTTAAATTAAAATAAAAATAATATTTTACGGAAATTTTGTATTGATATTAGTGATATTTAAGTTATTTAGACGATTTTTTTTGCAACAGTATGCATTTTTGACGATTTATGTATTTTGTTACTATTAAAATTCAATATTGTGCTAATTTTCATCTGAAGCATATGAAACTGAATTAAAAAATCGACAAGAAAGAATTATTAAAAATTGTTTTCTGTTTCGGAAAACCACTTTCCAAGCGAAATTTTTTTTCTATTAAAATTCAATATTTTGTTAATTTTGACCTAATGTATCTGAAAGCGAATTTAAAAATCTAGAAGAAAAAATTATTTAAAAAATGTTTCCGTTTCGGAATTCATTTAATTTTTTGTTGATTAGAAAAATTATTTTTAACCAAAAACTTTTTGAAAATGTAGCATGTTCGTCGATTATTTAAATCTATAAATCCAAACTTAATAATTTAATAATTTATAAATGTCAATATTTTTTATTATTTGCAGTTAAAGTTGTAATAAAATGTATAGTTTAAAAATTAAATTAAAATATTGCTGGTTTTAATCAACGGATTTATAATTGTTCAGGAGAAATAATGAAACATGATTTTTCCTACACTGTTAAAAATGAAATCTGATTTCACACCACAAGGTGAAAATTTTCAGTTTAGTATCCTTGAAAGTGTAAGTTTTTTACAAAACATTTTTTAAGTGTGATTCGAATCACGTGTTAGTCTTTAACACTATAAAGTTGTAATATAGACTTTGACATTTATTGCGTGCATTTTAGATTATATACAAAATCTTTTTGTTTTCTTTTCACAGGATACATCGACGCTCTCCGACGATTATTCGAAACTGTAGTGCAATAAAATGTTAGTTCAGAAAATTGTGCAAAATTATGTCCATTCATTTGCTTTGGACGTATGATATCAATTCTAATTGAATTCTATAAAAGGTTAACCTAATTTTTATTTTTATTTAAATTCTTATATAAATAATTGCACAATATAATTTAATAATGTAAGTAAATCAATTATTTAAATAAAGAAAAATTTTGAATGCAAATATTAAACTTTGTGTTTTAATTATTAATAACATTTTTTAAACATTTTAAAATAATTATTTAAATAAGGATTATATTGTAATAATACTGAAGTTCGAATAAATAGTTTATCGTCGGGAGCGTCGAAATATTTTTTAATAGTTATTAAAAAAGTACACAGAATTTAAAAATAAATTAAAATAATTTTATTTTTATTACTTTATTAATTATTTAATTTAATATTAATTTAATGATGAAATTGTAGAGATCATAAAATCATGAAATAATAATAAATGCATTATATGGTATATTAATTTTAAAAAATTATATATTATTATTATGGGGTCAGTTTATTATATCTTACTGAGTCATTACGGCATAATTTTTTTTAAATTGGTACTTTCAGAAATGACTTTATACCTATGATATTTTGAAAACGAAATAAAAGAAACTGCGTGTTAAAATTTCTATTATTTTTCTTAAAATAAGAATTTAAAGTGAAGGAACTGACTGGAAAAATTCCAAACTTGGGCAATATTTAAATTACTACTAAATAAACACTCAAATAAATTTTTGCGATGGAGAACATTAGAGTTTAGCTGATAATATTATTTAAAAAATATTCCTTCATTTCCAGGTTAATAGAAGTAATTTTTCTAAAACTCGATAACAATTTCTTAAATTTACACTGGACTCGGTGCAAAATGAGGTTGTTCATGCAATTTCGTACCAAATTTTAACACCGAGTCCGTACAACTGTACACTTGGTGTAAAGTTGTAAATGAATTTTTGAAACATTTTTAACAGTGTATTCTTACTATCAAAATTAATGAAATCTTTTTATTCCAGGAGTAAAAATTTTGTTGTTTTAACCTTTTTTTGAGCTTGGTTTTATTAAGAAAATAAAATTGTGTATTATTGCAAAAATTACGTTTGTAAAGTGGTTTTCCGAAAAGAGAAAAAATTTTCAAAAACTTTTTTTTATTGATACTTACTTAAAATTTCTTTTAGACGCATAAGGTGAAAATCGTTAAAATATTTGACAATTCAAAAATTGTCGAAAATGACTCCACTTTTGCTTGGTAAGTGGTTTTCCAAAACAAAACAAAATTGTTAAACAATGTTTTTTTTACAAATTTTCAAACTCTCCTTCAGAGGCATCAGGTAAAAATTGGCACAGTATATTGAATTCTGATTGAAAAAAAATACAAAAATCGTCAAAAATGCGTATTTTGGCAAAAAATTTCGCTTCAAAAGTGGTGTTTTGGAACGAAAAAAATTTTTTAATAATTTTTATCGTAGAACATCAAATTTTTTATCGGATACTCATTGAAACTTAATTAGTGGAAATTTCCCTGATTCAAGTCAGTTTCCTACTTCTCACGATTAGAATCAATGAATTTCACTGAAAATCATTGATTTTTGACTGATTATATTATCAGTGAAAGTCACTGATTCAGTTTTAAAGAATGGATCAGGTTAAAATGGTCACAAAATTTTGTTAATAAAAAATTTAAAAAATCGTCAAAAATGCGATTTAAATGATTTGCATATAACTTATATTGATATATAATATATTATGTACAGAACAGCAATTAATAGTTTTGAAAATCATCAGGTTTGACGTTGAAAACTTCTGTCCAATCAATTTTTATATTTACATGTTATTCTTTATTCATGTAATCAACTTTATTACGTAGAAACATCTGATTAAAAGTAATAATATTAATAGACAAAAGATTGCGCATTACAATGCGAAATAATGAACAGAAATAATACGATTTTTTTCTTGATTGTCGAAGTAATTAATAGAAAAATGCGTGAAAAGAAAGTACTTGATTTATTCGTTTTGGTATTTTTGCATTATTTCTATTATAGTGTTTAAAGAAATTGTTTGTTCCTCCTCGTTCGATAAATCCCATTGATGAACAAATAAGTTAAAAAGAGGATCATCTACATTAACAGTATATTTCTGGTCTTCAACTTCTTTGTCTCTTTTCAATTGATTTTCCAACACTTGCCTTTGCATAACCATGCAACTGGTGAAACTAGAGGTTATTTCTTGAAAATTTTGTCTCGATGCTTTCAAAGTTTCTGCTATAGTATCGTCTGGCATTGGCTTTCGTCTAGCAAACCGATCTACCGGCGGGACAATCTTTGCTTTTTTTGCCAAATCATCTATCGGGATGTCTTGAATTCTCAAATGTTTTCGAGGATTTCTTGATTCCTTAAAAAATGATGAAAGTGTTGACATTTTCAGTGGAGATAATGGAGTGGAACATTCTCGTGAAGTTGTAGGAGGGATGCAAGGTTCTGGACAAGATGTAGATTCCGGAGAAAAAGAAACAGGTGATAATGGGTGATGAGAAAATGACGTTTTCACTTGAGACAATACATTTCTGCATTCTCTACGATTTGCCGAACTCAGCGAAGATGCAGCCGGTGATTTCAATGAAGAAAATGCCCCTGAATTTATTGGAACCGTCAACGGCTTTTGGCGAGTAGCCGAACTCGACGAAGATGCAGTCGGTGATTTCAATGAAGAAATTGTCCCTGAATCCAATGGAATCGTCAACAGCTCTTGACGAGTGGCGGAACTCGAGAAAGATGGATCGGATGATCTCATTGAAGAAAATGACCCTGAATTCATTGGAATCGTCAACGGCTCTTGACGAGTGGCGGAACTCGAGAAAGATTGATCGGATGATCTCATTGAAGAAAATGCCCCTGAAATTATTAGAATCGTCAACGGCTTTTGGCGAGTGGCCGAACTCGACGAAGATGCAGTCGGTGATTTCAATGAAGAAATTGTCCCTGAATCGATTGGAATCGTCAACAGCTCTTGACGAGTGGCGGAACTCGAGAAAGATGGATCGGATGATCTCATTGAAGAAAATGCCCCTGAATTCATTGGAATCGTCAACGGCTCTTGGCGAGTGGCCGAACTCGATGAAGCATGTGATTTTAATAAAGAGAATGGCCTCACATTCACTCGAGAGAATTCAGATGATTCTCCTGATGAAAGTCGCATTGGAGATAATGGCGCGAACATTTCTTCTCGTGATGTAGGAATCGTTGCTAACACAGTTGGTGATAATCGATGAGAGAATGACGCTAAATCGTCAGTCTGTGAAGAGTCATCATCAATCGTAATTGTCTCGTTTTCATAGTTAAGAAAGTCATAGTCCATGTATTCTGCCTCCTTTTTAATGGTATTTCCATCCTCAAAAACATTGTCTTCTGCAATACTCTCCGCATCATAGGATGTTGAGGCACCTCATGTTGACTGTGTCTCCATACTTGCATGAAAGTCTGATAATTTATGCCCAGACGAATTTGACAGTTCGCCCCAATTAATATCTGTAAAAATTAAATATTTGCTTTGATTATAAATTTTATTAATTTTTTAGGCAATAGGCCTAAAGTGTAGAGTTCAATTTAAAATAAGAACTTTCAGAATCAAACTCTATTGTTTCAAGTAGATATAATGATTGTTGAATAATAGTTTATAATGCTATAAAAAGTATTTTAAAGATAATGATGTAATAGTTTAAAAAAAATGTTTAACAATATTTCAAATTTAAAATAATAAAAATCAGTAATACGTGCTGATGTAATAAAAATTCAAATTTTGTGTTTCTGAAAACAATTTGAAAGTAATATTTAAAATTATAAAGCTATGAGCAATATTTATTTTACAT